CATCATGGCAAAAGAATGTGGCAGCTCAGAACATAGTGGCCAGGAAGCAGAGAAATGGGAAGAGGCTGCAAGGAAGACGTATCCTTCCAAGACATAGCCCCAGTGACACACCTCCTCCAGCCAACCCATTTGCCTATGGTTGACACCTAGTTAATCCACTCAAAATAGGTTGGATTGATTAGGTGACAGTTCTCATAATCATTTTAGCTCTGAATATCCCTGCACTAACACAGGAGCTTTTGGGGAATACCTTATATCCAAACCATAACATGGCCCAAACAATCTTAATTTGTTTAAACTATTGAACATTAAGAATATCTTTCTAATACTGGTTAATGAAAGTGAATTATCATAATATACAGTCAAGTCATAATTACTTAACTATAAAATTCAAAAGCTAGTCTAACATGCATTTGTGTATTTTACATGTCTTAAAATTGATATCTGCATTTAATATTATGAATTTTTCACAGCTACATTATAATTTCATTAAGGAATTAAATAACACTTTGATTATGTGTTTCAAGGAATTATACTGTAAATGAAATATTTTCCCCCCCTTTTTTGCATGCTGAGGATTGAATTCAGGGTTTTGCATATGTTAGGCAAGTGCTCTACCACCAAATGAAACCTTGACTAATTTATCTTTGCTTAAATATTTTTAATAATAGTAATTTAAGTCATTTTAAATAGTAATAATTACTATTAATGTATAATAATATTACATAGAGCATATCACTTAATAGGCTTATGGGATAGGCATTATTGTTATATTTTATAAGTGAGAAACTGAGCCATAGAAAGATTAAGTAACTTTCCTACAGCAACAAAATTAGTGAATATCAGAGTCAGGATTTATTAATCATTTTGTACATTCCAGTTTTAATATGTTTACTTCTAAGTGGAAGAGCATCTGGTAAATATTCGGACTCAAATGAATATTCTTAGGGTATATCTTAATAGCTCACTAGGAAACTAATTCCCCAAGGATTTATTGTGCACCTAAATGCCATACATTGTTTTTGATGCTGGAGTTCTTGTCCTTAGGGAGCTTATAGTTTAATGTAAATTACTGGCAAATAATCATCTTATAATGTGATGTAAATCATATACTATAAAAATATTGAAAGCCCTGAGAGAGCAAGCCTAGAGCATAAAATGGCTCATTGTGTACTAGGAAACATTTTTGTGTACTAGACATTTTACAGAGGTGATGTCTGAGCTGTATCTGAAAGACAATGAGGAGTTTACCTGAGAAGGCAGAAGATATTCCACATAAAGGTGATTCTAGGTATATATGAATTAGGTAGGATATAGAACAGAATGCAGCCCCAGCACAATGAAGCATTCATGTATTACTGCAGTGGGCCCCCAGTATCTTTCCTGCTACCCCTTATACCATGACTGCATTAGCTCAGCTCTGGCTGCTGAGAGCAGCAGTAACTGATTCTATAGTTATCATTTCGAACACAGAGGAAAGGGACAGAATGTGAAGAAACAAAGATTTCTGAGAAATCTATTCAAATCCACTCTAATCCCTTTGCAAATCTTCAGTCCACTGATGGTTTTGGCCTTCCTCTCAGGAATGAACAAACTAAATGATGTCAAGTAACTTATTTAATCCTATGAGGCTAATAAGTAGCAAGGTTTTAAACCCTGATCCTCTATTCCTGTTATGCAGGCCCAATCCAAGTCTTCCTTTCTACTTGACCCTTGATCATATTCTAAATTTTATGAAGTGTAATTACTAGCCCAGATACTACCTGTTGCTATAACCCATCCTGACCCTAGTTTGTTTAACCATGCTTATAGAATAGCCTTCAGCTTAAGTCTGTATTTACATTGGACAAGATTGTCTAGTCATCTTATTTTTTAATCTGCTTAAATGATGATTATCACTGTGCCATCAACTCCAAGTTACCAACCTACCCAAACAACTTATCTGAATTCTTATTGTCTCTTTTGGAACTAAGCAAGATGTCACCAGCAATTGTATATGTGTATTTTTCCTAAACAAAGTGATTTTAAGAGAATAATTGGTTTTATTACTCATTGA